GTTTGTACTAAATAACAAGAATTTGAGATCTCTCAGAGAACAACTCTGCTTTTATTATCCACTTTATCTCAAGGGATGCTGCAATTCTTGGCCAGAAAGGCAACAAAAAACACCTTGCTGACCCAGAAAAGGTTTATTTGGCTCACAGCTCAAATCTGAGCAACTTTCAGGAATTGTGACTGGCTTCCTGGTATTTATCTCACAAATGTAAGTTAATTACTAAAAATATATATATTATTTTGATAAAAAGGCAACTTTGTAAATGAAAGAGCTTTGTTTGTGATATTTTTCTTTTACAGGCTTGAAACTTTTTAGGGAAACAGAAAGACTTGTGTCTTCTTTTTTTTTTCTTCTTAAGACTTGACATGTTCAATACTGAAGAAATCAGGGCCACATAATTTACAAGCACAGCACTGAATTCCAAAATAGAACAGTGAGGAAGTGGAACATCTAAGTTGGACTGTATGTTTGTGACTAAGATCTCGTTCCTAAATTCACACTTGGCCAACTAAAAAGAAGGCATCTAAATTTCAGTTGTGCTTTGTAAATTCAACATTCCCACTAGCTTCATCAGGATCCAGAATTACATAGTAGTTAAAAAAAAATATCCAACTTGTTCTGTTTAAGGATTTAAATTCAGGATTAAGGTTACAGTTGTAACAGATTTAAGGTTCAAAGCATCAACAATATAAATTATATCTCAATTAACAGCATACTTTCATACCAGAAGAGCAAAGCCTGAGACCTGCATGAGAGAAAATTCCAATTGAGATCTCATCTTGATACACTACTGACTAAATCAGAAAAGATGCACTGAAGACAGTGTATTAAATTAGGTTAGCTCTATATGCCATATTTTAACACTTCCCAGCATTCCCTGATAGTGCAGGAACAGAGCAGTTCCATGAGATTACATAAACCTCTCCACTTTCTGCAGTTGAATCTCTAAAATTACAGCTCATTTTCAGGATGCAGAGGCAAATTCTCCTGAGCATGCAAGTTTCAAAACAAGTCAGTCAGCTGAAGCCCTTATAAATCATAAACCAGCCATCACTCTGCCATACAACTGGTCAGTAATCAATGGCTATTTCTAAGCTTAAACTAAGATTTTAAAAACCCCAAACTATGCTTCAAAGTTTTCTTCACCCAACTAAGACTTCTCCATTTCAGCTCTTGATTTGGTCTTTTGCCCAGTTAGGTTCATGTAGTATTTCTTAATCCCATAAGATTTATTTCAAAGAAATCATGGACATTATGTTGAACTGAGATATCTTGATGAGTAATTCTCCTTTTCACCTTGTTACAAAAAAGTGAATTATCCATGAATTACCATCATGTAATGGTAATCCCTGTACTTTAAGGATCAGATTCCCACAGATCAGAATGATCTCTAAGCCTGAAGTCCATAATATGCAGATGAAGTAACTGTGTGTTTCTTCCATCACTGAGTAAAACTACACTAAACCAAACAATCTCAGCTTCTAAGCATGAAAACCATCACAAAATTCCTTAGGTTAAAAAGAGCACATTGTCTGCTAAGAGGTGATATTTCTTTAAATTTCTCTCTGCAGCTTTTGCATGAAGAGATAGCAGAGTTGAATATCTAAACTCACTGCAGTGCTACTCAGAAAGCAACAGATTCAGCCTCAAAATAGACTATTTCACCTACCACTATAAGCACAGCAATGCAGAGCTAAGCAGGGACTAACAGGCTCTGCCTGACAGATGCACCCTAGAATGGCCAAGGTTTCCAACCAGTGCTTACCCCAAGTACTGAGCAGTGAGCAGTAGGAAAGAGAACATCTGAGCACATTATTACACCGTGATACTCTATTCAGCCTGAGGGTATAAGCCAGCTTTATGATGAGATCATAAAGCAATTTTTATACTGAATTTATGAAATCATTATAGCAGTCACTTCCAGAAGCCAGTGACTGGTTTATCAGAGGACAGCCTGTAGCAAAAATGAAACTGCAGATTGCAGAGAAGCTCAACTGCAACACTGGCAGTATCCAAGACTGAAGTACAAAAACTGTAAGGCAAACAAGTGGAGAGAGAAGGTTTAAGCATTAAGACTTACAAATAACTGGACAAGCACATTTCAAAATCAGCAACAAGAGAAGCATTTATTTTCATTAATTTTTATTTGCACCTTTATTTTGAACACTAGCTTAGGCACAGCACACAAGATTGAAAATCAACTACTATTCCTGAAGATTTACAACAGACACCTATTCCTAAATCCTATATGAATGACAGCTGAGCATTTCACCACACGTACAATTTGTTCAAGATCAACCTTGTTTCTTAACTTAAAAACTCCCACATGCTTCTTACATTAGTCTTTGTCAAACCACTTTAATTGCCTGTATTATTGTAAGATAAACATTAAACATTAAACTATCATCAAGCACTCACCCTGAATGGCACTGTGCAGGACACAGGCAATAACCCCAAAACACTGAATTGTTCTGCAGTAAAAGAAAGTGAACGGAACTCAAAAAGATTTATAATCATCAAATATTTTGAGATTTGGGTTCAAAGGGAACCCTGGATCATGCCTCTTCTTTATAGCCCAGCTTGCTACATTTTAGACAACCATGTTCTTACTCAGGAGAGGAGTCTGCATTTGACAACAAACATACATTCATGTACTCTGAAAGAGACCCAGGCTAAAGCCAAGCAAGTCAAAACCAAAAATACAGCCAATTCCTCAGAACTCAGCCAGGAAAACTGGACCAGAACACTTTATAATTCTATCTTTAAATGCGTAATTGACTCAATTATTTACAATAAGTGTGTGATAAGTTTCTTTTTAATTTGTCTAGCTTTTATTTTAAGCCACTGGTGGCTCTTCCTGTTCTTCCTATTAAACAGCACTGTCCAAGTAGAGAGAAGTTGCAATCAGAAACAAAAAGATGGTAATAAATAGAAGTAGACAGCAAGGTAAATGCTGGATGTAAAACCTTATCACAGAATGACTGGCAGTCAGATGCAATGTCTTCACTTCAACAGACAAACGCAATCACTTCAGTTATGACAGGTTATTTTTTCTGGTCATTTGCCCAGTACCAGCCACATGTGTCCCTGTACACAGGGACTTAATTATGTACAGAGTCTGGTGAATTGAAAAGTACTTTTAAAATATTCTAAACAGTTCTGAACTTCATAAGCACTTTTAATCCAGGCAGATCAAATAATTGATTTACAGTAGTTTAATTGGAGCAAACTGGGATAAAATCATTTATAGTCTATTTAATGTGGTAAATAAAAATAGAAGTAATAGAACTGGACTTTTGTTAAAATGGAATGAGCCATGAGAGCAAATCACTCTACAGATGGTGGTGTATTACCAAGGTTTCCTCTCTCCTCATCCACAACAGACCTATCTTACAAGTATTGGAAAACTATCCTCTCTTGGCCAGAAGGGCACATTACACATACAAGAATGTCTGTTCCCTACTGTACATAGTTTTGATCACCTGCAAGGTCCTTCCATCACAAAACAGCAATTAAGTCAAAATTAATTCCATAAACCTAACAACAAAACCAAGCATGTGCATTCCTACCAGACTGTTTCACTAAACACTGTATAAAACCAAGCTCTTGCTTTACAGCTCCTCCAACATCCTCAGAAAACCACCATGTAGACCATTGTGAACCTGTAACTTCTTGGCTGACAAGACAACAGTGCACCAAAATTTGGTGGTTTTTTCATGCCTTTGGTGCAAAAATATTCTGCATTTCTAGATTTTTAGTCCAATTACAAAATCACATGTCCCTTACTTCCATAAGGCAGGAGTGTCCATAGGTCAGACACTCTACATGAAGTTCTCAACTTAAAAATTAATGCTGAGGATCTTACCCACTTAAATGTTTCCTCAATCTTGCTGATTTATATTTATGAGCAATTGGGAAATACTTTGCTGTGTCATAAAATACAAGTAAGGCTTTACTTATTTTTTATGACCTTTCATATGCTGTCATCATCCTTTTTGTACTACAGAATCAAAAGTGGTGATGAATTAGGAATACTAATGGTCCAAAAGAAACATACTGAAAAATTAATAGCTTCACCTGTTTATTGATTAAAGAGAATCATAAATAACCTTACTGGGAAGAAAGCAAATTCATGTGCAAAGGGAGTTACTTGAGAAAAGCAAAGCCAGAGCTGGCTTCTCAGCCAAAGCCCTGCTGAGCCAAATGCTGCATCATACAACTCTCCATCTAAATTCTGAATTAATTGATGCAGAACACAGATCCAGGCAGGAAACTTGCCAACCCCTACACGGCATTAAGAACATTCACCAAAGCTGGAAGAGACCAAGGAAGCACCAGCACTTACAAACTTTGTTCTTTTAACTTGACATTGTACCTTCTGCAAATCTGGCCAGAAGCTTATTCTTATTTCACTGCTCAAAACAGGAGGTTTACATCTTCAACAGGTAGAATCTTCAACAGAAATCCAAACAGCAGCTGACTCCAGGGAAGGCTCTCTCAGTAAGCACAGTGCAGCTTCTACCAACACGATTGTTCTTTCATCCTCTTACTTTATTTGCTTTTCTTTTGGCTCTCTCAACTATTCTGTTTTATTATGTCTATGATCACCTCTAAAAGGCCATGGGAAGTGGGAAAATAAGACTGATGCCAAAATGTTCACAAGGTAGAAATCCTTCTGTACATTTTAATAGAAGAAAACCAAGAATTCATACAGAAGCACTTTCCCAGAGAGTACAAAACATAATAAAGCAACATGGGGTAAAGAAGTGACAGTTCCTTGAGTACACTGTACTGATAACCAGGCTCCTGTGAGCCTGATCTTGTTTCACCTTCATGTTTGTTTGTTCTAATATAACACTCCAAACACAGAACATCAAACTGTTCTAAAAAAAAACAAAGGGAAATATTTATGAGACAAAGAAACCTTTAATCACACAACAAACCATAACACAGTACAGTGAAAACCAAATATTTTACTTCTTTTTATGTCACTTACTTACCTTCACATGACTGAAGTCACCAACTTTGCTGCTTTCCTGTGGATTGACAGGTTTGGTCTCTACTCTTGGTTTGACAACCTGTCGAAAAGGGCTGGAGAGTGGAAGTCCACTAACACTGATTCCATCTAGAAACAGAATAAATAAAATTACTTTTGCTTGTCTAGCATTATGTATTATTCCAAAAAAATGAGTATAATCAAAGGGAGACAAAATACACTAAAAGAAATACCAACATTTTATACAAAAAGGCAAAAATAAGAGATAAAGATTATTTTACTATGTTTTCCCCTAGAAGCCAAGAAAACCCAAACAGGTATACACCTAAAACTCAGTGAAGGTCGCTGGAAAGGAAAGTGAAACATCACGACAGAAATGTTAAGAGTTAATAACATGAAATTAGTTTTAAGATTTACAATATCAAAAAGAACAAAAGCAAAAGTTTGTGCTTTTCCACAACAGTGATCCTATCAACTGCTTAGTATCTTTCAACTTACTTCCAATATGAGATCTGGGGATTCCTTTTCAGGTTTATGTTGTTGAAAAGAACAGAAAATAGAGAAGACCTATTTTGTATAAACTGTTGATGTAAAAATACACTAAACACTTGTCTTGTATAACAAAAGACAGATTGGAAACTAAGGTTTACATTGTAATAGTCAACAAAGAGCTTAGCAGAAATGGAGATGCTCAGAGGAGTGTCCTCAGCTTGGTATTTACGAGCAGTCTGTGTACTGGCAGTGCCCTGGACAGCAATAAAAGACAACTTAGCAGTGTGTTTTACTGCCAACAAGGTTGTGTGGCTTTAGGGTAAATGAATACACTGCAGCATATTTGGGTTTCTCACCTACCAAAGCTACATTCTAAGCACTAACCACTAAAATGTGTGAAAACTTACTTTTGAATCAAAAAACGCCAGAGGAAGAAGAAAATCAAAATGATGATGTTTTAACATACATTAAATCTACAGTAATTATTTATTAACAATTTGTTATTATTTAGATATACATCCCAAGTCCACAGAAAAGCAGGATTTTGTTCCTTTCTGCTCTGCAGAGCAACTGCAGACATCCACAAATACACAAACACCCATTAAAAACAAGGAAAATCTCATCTTGCAGTAGACACATACAGCCTAACATTTGGGAAACACCAAATCATTACATAAAATCCAAACTTATTTCCTTTTTGGAAATTGCTCCTCTCATATAATATTTGCTCATATCATTATTCAATTTGATGACCTTGATTCTGGACCTCTTCAGGATACATTTATCACAAGTAGAAACCAGAAGAACAAGATGGAGTATTAAATGGTTTTGCTTCATTGAAATCCAACTTCACAGATATCCAATAAGAAAATAAAGGGCATCTCCCATATTCCTTTACTTCCAGTTTCCTTCACAAACTAGTTTGAAAAAGAACCTTAGTTCATCCTTAGAGGTACAACAATATTAAAACTGAAAGAGGAGAGATTTAGGTTAGACATTAGGAGGAAATTCTTCACTATAAGGATGGTGCTGCCCAGGGAAGCTGTAGCTGCCCCATCTCTGGAGGTGTTGAAGGGCAGGTTGGATGGGGCTTGGAGCAACCTGGTCTGGTGGGAGGTGTCCCTGCCCATGCAGGGGGGTTGGAACTGGATGACTTTAAGGTCCCTCCAACCCAAACCATTCTATGATTCTGTGATCAGATTTGAAGATTCTGATTCAGGAAGCTTACTAGTAAAAAACCTCAAGTTTTTAATTTACAATTAACTCACCTTATACAAAAATATAAATAAAATTAAAAGAATGATTACAGTTTCTCAGAGAATTAATATGTTCATTATGAACCATGACCAACATAATCCTTTCAGCTCTTAGCATCTCTTAAAAGCCAACATACTTAAGCTTAAGATTTGAGGCAATACTGTTCTAAAAGTTACAGACAACTTGCCAACAAAACTGATCATAAATCTATTTTACAGCAGGCTTCTAAATCCACTCTTTTTTAAATAAAAAACCAGAAAGTGTTACCCAAGGAAAAATAATTCTTTTCAAACTGATGAATGATTTTCACTAGTTTTGATTTAGAACAAAAGTGGACACTGATTAGTGCAAATTGCAAACTGAAAAGAAAAACATGACAAGAACCAAGCATGAAAAACTGCAGAGCATTCTCCACTTTCTGTGAGGAACAAGTGTTCCTTTCTTTGAGAAAGGAATAGATAATGGCTAAAACAGCACCATGGACATAAAACTAACACCTTTCCTAATTGCTTTATTAAAAGGCCATTCTATTTTCATTTTCTTAAGAAAAAGAAAAAGTATGGTTTAAATCTTTTCTCTGGGGAAGAGAAGAAGCAAAAGGATCATCAGAGCTGCAAAAGGAGGTCTGATAGACAAGTAAATACTGATTCTGCTTCAAGTTGAGAGGAAAAAGTCTAAGGTTTGACCACTGTGTGGTCAAATTGTCTGTTTCAGTCTTGTGGCACTAAGACTTCACATACAACACAGAGCCCCTGCCAGGGACTGTGTTATATTTCAAACTACTGACTCCTTCACACCTTTGTCAGGGGACATAAAAAACCAATAACATTCTGCTAGTAGTTGATTCTTTGTTGTATTTTGTTTTGTTTTAATTATTTTGCTTTTCCTGTTCTCTGACCAGGCAGCAAAGTTGGTTAGATGTTGTCCAGCTCCTCTGTAATACATTAGCCACCATAAAATGAGGAAACATATTCTATTAAAAGCCCTGGTAGGTGCAGAACTTAATGAGGGAAGAAGAAAACACATAATTGAAAAATTGAGAGCAGCAGTGAAGAAGTTCACCAGAAGTTTTAAATTACTTTACAATTCAATTTTTTTCAGATTTCTTAAGTTCTTCTCTCATGAAGTTTAAAGATATGAAGAAGCTAAATTCTCCATAGTTTTCTTTCATCAATCCATACTGTCAAAGAGCTTCAGGAGCCTTTCAGTATAAAAAGAACTATTGTCTTTCTGCTCTCTCCAGAAATCATAGAATAGTTAAAGCTGGAAGGGATCTTAAACATCGAGTTCCAACCCCCTTGCATGGGGGGGTCCCACCAGACTAGGTTGCTCAGAGCCCCACCCAACCTGCCCTTCAGCACCTCCAGGGATGGGGCTTCCACAGCTTCACTGGCTCTGACCAGGCAGCAAAGTTGGTTAGATGTTGTCCAGCTCCTCTGTAATACATTAGCCACCATAAAATGAGGAAACATATTCTATTAAAAGCCCTGGTAGGTGCAGAACTTAATGAGGGAAGAAGAAAACACATAATTGAAAAATTGAGAGCAGCAGTGAAGAAGTTCACCAGAAGTTTTAAATTACTTTACAATTCAATTTTTTTCAGATTTCTTAAGTTCTTCTCTCATGAAGTTTAAAGATATGAAGAAGCTAAATTCTCCATAGTTTTCTTTCATCAATCCATACTGTCAAAGAGCTTCAGGAGCCTTTCAGTATAAAAAGAACTATTGTCTTTCTGCTCTCTCCAGAAATCATAGAATAGTTAAAGCTGGAAGGGATCTTAAACATCGAGTTCCAACCCCCTTGCATGGGGGGGTCCCACCAGACTAGGTTGCTCAGAGCCCCACCCAACCTGCCCTTCAGCACCTCCAGGGATGGGGCTTCCACAGCTTCACTGGACAGCCTGTTCCAGTGTCTCACTACCCTCACCCTAAAGAATTTTCTCCTTATCTCTAATCTAAATCTCTCTTCTTTCAGTGCAAATCCATTGTCCCTTGTCCTCTTACTCTTGAGAAGCCCTTGTCAGAAGCCCCTCCCCAGCTTTCCTGGAGCCCCTTCAGGCACTGGAAGCTGCTCTAAGGTCTCCCTGGAGCCTTCTCTTCTCCAGGCTGAACAGCCCCAACTCTCTCAGCCTGTCCTCATAAGAGAGGTGCTCCAGCCCTTGGATCATTTTCGTGGCCCTCCTCTGAAATCTTGTTGATTTCTAGAGTACTCCCATGGTAACAGCACACAATCAAGACTTATTTGATAGTAACTGCAAACACACAGCTTGCCTCTCCAACATCACCATCACTGCTGTCACAACAGAGCAAAATCTCTTCCCAGCATTTACTCTCCCATCTCAAATGTTAAGCAAATTGTCAATTTAATTTCATTAGCCACTTTCACAGCATGCTACACAGAAGAATCCTACACAATTCCTAATTTGAATGAGGTGAAATTTACCAAAAGAGCTAAACCTGCAGATTTATAACCCAGTGACTAAGCACTGAAGAAAGAGCTGGAACAGGACAGATTCCATCCCATTCCAATACACAGCTCCCCTGTAATGCTGAGTTGTACAAGAAACACTGGCTTGGTCCAGGTGACAGAAATACAGACACTCTTCAAGAGGCACTTCACAACTACAGTGGTCTCAAACTCTATGGCAAGGAAATCCTTAAATAACCTTACCACTGAAACCAGAACACCACACAAGCCTGTTCAAATTCCCAAGCAGTGCTACTTGGCAATACGATGCCATGTGAGATGCAAAGTTTTCTACAGATCCATGAAATGTCCTTAACATTATATATTGGGTGCCCATGTTTGGGTGCTTGCAGCAGGGGCTGCAGGGCCTCTGTGAGGAGAGGGGAAGGGGGGAAACAGGTTGGAGTAAGAACTCCAGAAACACATAAAGAGTTTTTTGTACAACACACAACTTGAGCGTAAAATAGCACAACTAAAATGCCCTGTCAACCCATTTGTTTATTTTGTCAGTCCATTACCTGATAGAAATTCCAAAACAAAGAGCCTCTGGTAGGCAACCTCTCCTAAGAATACTCTTAACAGTTTTAAAGTCCTTTAAGCATGCAGAAAAAAAAAGAGCAACTCAAGTCAGGAGAAAATGCTGGCCAAAGCAGAATATGCCTTTTTTTCCTAGAAAGAAAATAAATTTAAAAAATTGATCTTGTAGTCTGTTGAAAGTGGGCAGAATTCTAGAAACTTGCTGTCTGCAGCAACAAAGAGGGGAATAACATAAGAGTAGATAGTTTCAGGCAATGTAATCCACTTCAGCCTTCACAGTACAGAAGAGTATTAAGATGCAGTTCCTTCTCTGTCTCCAAAATCTCAGACTAGCACACAAGAGACTCCAGGCAGCTGTTCTCCAGGCAAAGCTTGGA